CTCGTTGTGGGATGAGTCGGCAACTTTACGAGTCACCTCATTTCCTTGTGGGTCCTTAATGACCCTTGAAGTGTTGGCGCGAATGTGTTCTTCACCCTTTTTGCTTAGCACCATGGGCTACGTAGTTCTTGATTCCATACAACTTGTAAGGAGTCCTCTGATTTGCTCGAACGATGTCCATGGTTTGGAGGAGTCCCGGTCCCTCCTTAGCATTTTGACTTTTAAGGTTTTCGTGGGTTCTTAGAACGAGTTCCCAACTCGCCTCCTTGGTTTGCGCAATCCTTTACGCCAAACATCCCTAGTCGGTTGTATCGTAGGATCCGATTTCAATTACTCGTGCAATGTAATTGATTGTGATTTCCCGATGGTGTCTCGTGCGTCAAGGTCTTTTACGTAGGACACTATGTTTGGGTGGTCCATGGTTCCTTACCCAAGACTCACATTCCTCAATCGAGGCACACAAGTGCGCCACAAATCAATAAAATGAGGGGTTAAGAAATCAGCACATTGTACCAGTGGGCGCGAGGTGGGCGGTCGTCCGCCTGCCAAGCTCCTGCCAAGGACCCGCCAAGGTCCCGTCAAGGACCCGTTGGGGACCCGCGGGAAAGTGACTAGGAATAGTCAATTCCTTCGAGAAAGACCCCAAAAATGCACAGATTCATGTCCTGACAAGTCCCATGCCCTTGTGCACAATAAAAGCGACTTGGATACATAGGATGACCCATCGTACAATGTTCATTGATCCTTAAGCACGAGTTCTAGAGGTAGATATACATACATATATATATATATATCTATGTTTTCTTGGTCTGGGTTTAAAGGGGTGTAAGAAGTGCAAGGGCTAGGTTTCAAAGTCGAGGGGCGGATAAGGTCGATGTCTCTAGGTCGTAATATAGGAAGGAAGGTTGCCACCTTGTACGGGTTTGTCTGTAATGAGGGATCAAGAGCGAGGTTTGGAGTGATAGGACGGATTCTTTAACGAAATGGTACTTGATTGGCAAGGGGAGGGAAAGGGGCTAAGGACTCTTGGCTTCGAGTGATTATGCCTGTTTGGGGCTTGGTTGTGGCGTGCAGTCGAACTGGTGATCCCTTTTCCTTGGCTTTGTTTGATTCTAAGATTTTTGTTTGATCTTCTCTTCCCGTGTCGAAGTCCCCTTCGTCTCTATGGCTTCCAGGGGAATTCTCGTGATGGTTTCTGTGCACGTTCCCCTCGGATGTCCAGAAGTCTGGACCCAGTAGGTTTAGTGGGTCAAACCCCTAGGTCTTGACTCCTAATCCTTGCCGAGGGTTCTTAAGGGTAAGGGGGGTTTCGGGTTAGTCTTTCTTGTTCTATTGGGTTTCATCCCTTCCTTGGTTGGATGAAATTCTTAGCAAGGCTTTATGTCCTCCTTGAGGTTCGGCCTGTTGCACCTATTTGACGATGTTTTCTGTAGCGAGGGCCCCTGACACATTGAACGTATTTGTTTGCCCGCTCTCGTCAACGCATGGCGTTCTTCGGTGGCGTACGTACAGGCTATGGTTTCTCGTGAAGCCTTCACGGTTTTCGTGTAAGGGTGGGGTGATACGTATTCGTAACCTCCACCTACTTCGCCGATTCCTATCTAATAACTTATTTTAATATTGAATCAATGAATGTCGGTTCTTCACGCCCCTAGGCAGGGTAAGGGCCTTATGCTGCTCTACGGTTTTTAACAGGGTTTCCAAACGGAGTGGGGATATGAACTTAGAGTAAGGGCAATAACAATTTAGGGTTTCCGATGGGTTTGGGTTAAGCACAACAAAGGGTGAGCAAGGTCATGACGGTTGCGAATTTGCTCTTAAGGTAATTAACGATTCGGGGTGGGAGTTTTCAACAAATAGGGGTATCAAGATGCGGGGGTTTCAGGGCGGATGATATTTTAAATTGGGGTGGTGGGGTCGCAAGGTGTCGCGATATACTTACCTTGCACCCAAGGATTCGACTAATGCTGTCGTTCCTTCGCTACTTTAATAGGTGTCCTAGTTCTCCTTCCTGTTTGTTGTAGCCGCAACCCGGGTTAGCCGAGATAAGGCAACTTGTCGGAAGGTGCATGTCATTTGTCTGACTCGGGGGTTATCGTGGTTACCCTGTGTTGGTGTGTATTGCAGTCCGTCCCTTTTAGCAGTCCTGACTGTAACGCCTCTTCTTAGTAGTCATCCAAATCTTCCTTTTCTTTGGTCAGGGTCCTTGTCAAGTCTTTTGACGGGAGTTAGGACGAGGCGATTTATCGGGTAAGTGTACGTTACCCAGTTGTGGAAGTAAACTTATCTATTCGCACCCTTACCTGGTGTGGTAAGCGTAGGGGGAGGTTCCTTTAAGTTAGAGAGGGATGAAGTGAGGGGAGGTTATGTGTAGGTTTCACAATCTCACTGCGCGTCCTAAGATTCCTGGATCCTATGTTCCTAAGTACCTAGAGTTCAAGCCTAGTGTCCTAAAGTCCGGTCTTAAGAGTCTTATCCTAGGGTCAAACATAAGCTCTGATACCAACTGTAACACCCCAGATTTTCAAGACATTTAAAACTTATAATAAAGGTAGAATCTTATTAAATCCCAAGATATAAATACAAGCGTTCGGGGTGCTATGCCACACCTGGGCTAGAGAACCCAAGTGCACAGGCTAACTAACTAATATCCTCAAAGCGTAAATACGTAAACGTGGCATGCAGGCTAAAAGGGAAACTATCTACTTCTAAGTTCTAGCGCACTCCAGTGACTTAATCTTCTGTGCCTGAAAGCCAAATATATTTGTTCAGCGAGAGATGCTGGTAACCCACTCCAACGCGTTGAAATACAATACATATAGAGATATATATAGATATACGAAAGCCATTTTGAGCATGAAGATATATCCTACGAACTCTAGCTTTAAAACCGGGAATGACTCGACAGATAAGGCCAGACACAAGCAACAGTTATAACGAGCATATGCAGTTCACAACAGATAAGGCAGATAAGGCAAAGCATAACAATAATCACAACCCAACATAAACAATCCCCAACATAAATCCCACAGTCACATTCCCCCAAGACACTCATAATCACAAATCATCCATATCACAACACATAGCACACTTTGTTGGCGCCACAGGACCAATCGCATGCCCATACATGAGGGTCAGCGCATATAGCTCTGACACGGCCCCGCAGCACCCTGCCCCGTATCGCAACACGGAGGGGTCGATCGTAACCGACCGATGAACTGCAGCTCATCATAGTGTTTGATCGCAACCAAACAGTGGACCGCAGCCCAAGAGAATGTCATCTGACCGCAGCCAGGAAAGAGAACGAACCGCAGCTCGTATAGAAACGTTTGATCGCACCCAAACGGTGGACCGCAGCCCAAGAGTATCAATCTGACCGCAGCCAGCTTCTGAACCGCAGCTCAGGATAACCAATCCGATCGCAACCGAATTGGGGTAACACACACACATAACACATAGCAAGCACATGCAACCCACATTACATATTGGGAAGGGGGAGAGAGCGCATAACAAAACCTATGCGTGATCCATCACATACTAAGAATAGTCCTAAGGGGTTCATACTTCTTCCACCTAGGTCAACGGGATACCAATTCAACTAGCATGCAATATGATAGACTCATAAACCTACGAACGGTACCCGAAACATCAAACTAGACATAGGCACGATAAACGGAGTCCGTTGGGACACCACGGGGAACAGGGGAACATCAAACGGGGAAGCCGGGAACCCAAGGTGGGGGAAATTCCAGTGGGTAGCCGGTGGGTGGGGGCCACCCGCTGGCTGCCCGCCGGAAAGTACTGTTCCGGGCAGCGGGTCGCCGGCGGGCAGCTGCCCGCCCGCCGGTTACCCGCTGCCGGGCGGTGTTTCACGGCCGTGGGTAGGTGGCGGGACCCCTACCCCCCACCTACCCCCACTGACTCTTTTCATCACTTTTGCGCCCCGGGAACCATTGTGGAACCCGAAACCATGCTTAGACACCTTACAACGCAATTAACGACAACACGTAGACAATTAACGGATCAAATACGAGAAACGAATGGCACATAACCTATCATGCTTTTCTAGACATAATCAACACCCAAACATGCGATTTCCCCACCCCACAATCCAAGAATCATAACATACGATACAACCTAGGGTTCTAATCACTTTTATATCAACAAGGATACGATTCGTCTTCTAATTGCAAGATTCGGTAAGGATAACACATAACCATCAAGAGCATCACACAATTATCAAGAACAACACATAATCATCAAGAACTCCATATAATCATCAAGAACACCATAATTATCAAGAATCTCCCAATATCAAGATTATCAAGATCCCTCATGGGATCATAACATCAAACATCAATAATCATCATATCTCGCCAATCACAATAATATGCGGGAAACCCTAAGGGGGAATCATAGCTATGAAAATAGGTTTTGTTGAGACATGGGTTACCTCTTAGCCTTAATTAATTCCTTGGCTATGAAGGATCTTTCTTTAAGCTTTCTTGATTTCTTGATTTCTCCTAAGGGGATTCTTGGAACTCTTTGGGTGGTGAGAGATTATTGTGGTGGGGATTCTAGGTGCCTCCTAAGTTCCCTATTTATATATTTAAGACTCCTAGTTAGGGCCTGAATGGTATGGGTTTACTAATTCTATTCCTTATAGGGCTAGGGCTTGTTTTAGGGATAAGGGTCCATGGTCCATAGTGGACCATACTAATTAAAGAGGATCCTAATCATAATCTGAATAGTAAAAGGCCTACTTCCTTTATTCCTAACAGGCTTAAGATTCTTATTCGGGCAAGGGTCCACGGTTCATGGTGGACCTTACTAATTAATTAAAGGTAAACCTAACATAATTAAATCATATTTAATTATTATTAACGGGATTAATTAAATAATTAATCCTGGGATTGAAGGCCGTAACACAGGGTGTTACAGAGGCCTTGCTGAACACCAACCACCCCGTGCCACCTCCTCAACCTGCTGGGCACCGGGATATGGGTCACTTGGTGTCGGGTCACAGACCGCCGATCTTCGCGGGTGAAGAAGACCCGGTGGTTTTGGAAGAATGGATGAGAGTGTTCGTTAAGATTTTCGCAGTTGTGGGTTGTCCTGGGGAGAGAAGGGTAGAACTGGCAACGTTCTACTTTTGTCATGAGGCTGATCAGTGGTGGATTCATGAGGGTCCGGCCTACCTTGAAGAACCTGAGTTCGATTGGTCCGCGCTTAAGGATATGATGCGCGAGAGGTTTTACCCGGCACACGTGCGAGCTGCCATGTACGAAGAGTTTCTCCATCTGCAGCAAGGATCTCTTTCTGTGGTTGAATACCACAAGAAGTTTTTGGAGTTGGCGCGTTTTCGCTCGGATGCTCGTGCCTACGGAGCTCGCTAAGGTCGAGAGATTCGTTGCCGGCTTGCATTATGAGGCACAAAAAGCTTTGACTGTGAGCAAGCTGAGTTCTCTTAAGGATGCTTATGTGAGTGCAGCGGATCTGTACCGTGTTCAGCAGCTTCAGCGAGGATCTTATGAGCTAGCAAGGAAGAGGACCGAGAGCGGAGGTTCTTCCACCTTCAAGAAGCCCCGACCGAGATTTCAAGCTAAGAATGTGTCATCTTCAACCCAAGGACCTAACCGGATGGAGCAAGGACATCAAGCCAAGACATCTCCTTGTCATCGATGTGGGATGGTGTATGCCGGTCAAAGTTGCAATAGCTTCGTGTTACGATGCTTTCGTTGCGGAGATCGTGGTCACAAGGTCGGATTTTCCCCATCAAGCCAATCAGAGGGCGTTGCCACCACCCCCAGGAGCCGGAGGAGCAGCGGGAAGTAGCTCGGGCTGTGGAGCAGCTGGAGCCAGACCATCAGGGAGAGTCTTCGTGATGGGGCGTTCGTAGGCAGAGTCCGAGTGTTTGGTGGAGGAGGAGCTAGCAGGTAATCCTTTCCTAGCCTACCCTTGTCTTTTGTGCGCATCTTGTTCCTTGTTGCCTTGAGTGTTGTCTTGTGTTTCTTCATTGTTTACTTGAAGTTACTTGGTTATCCTTGTCATGTTTTCTTTGGCACTGATTCTTTTGGAGTTAAGTGTAAGATCTTCTTGATAGATGATTCCCTTAGTTTGTGCGGGAAAGTTTCGTTGTGAAGTTAGTTATGTATCTTTGGAATGATTTATGCTTGGGTTAACTCTATAATCCTTGCACTTGGATATTCTTGCAACCCTTACTTTGAGAACCCTCTAAATTTCCCAAGTATTCTTTGAAATTAAGAATAGAAAATTCATACCAAAAATCCTTTCATTGTGTAGCTTAAAAGTCAAGCAAAATGTTTAATTGCAACCTTTAAGTTTCAAAACCGAGCCTATTCTTTACCAACCCAATCTCTAAACCACTTGGGCTAGTTATCTTTCTTGAAACCTATTCAATTTTAATTCCATCTAAACCATAATTTCCACTTTACCCAAATCCCCAAATTAAATCATCTTTTCCCCAATTTTTCCCCAAAATCCCTAATTTCCCAAAACCTTCTTCTCTCTTCTTCCCTACCCGTGAACCACCGAGAAACCCTCCCCACCCGTCGCCGACGCACCACCAGCCATTCACCGCTGACCGTCACTGTCGACGCACCGCCGGAGCTACCCCGCCGAGCCGCCTTGTTCGCCGAAATCCGAGAGAGAAGCGAGAGAGAGAGAGAGAGAGAGAGAGAGAGAGAGAGTCGCCGGGAGTGAGAGGAGAAGAAGGAAAGTTGTGGGCTTTGTTTGTTGAGCTTTGGGTCATCTCCTACCATGATTAGAAGGTCAAGCTTCGCTAGAAAAGTGGAATGGGTGGATGCCCACTACCTTGTTCTTGAAGGTAAAGCCTTTGATCCGGAATCTTTTCCTAATTCTTTGTTGGATATGCTTAGATTCCAAGGTTTGTTGGATGGGTTTCTCGCCATAAGGGTCGAGACTTACCCAAGTCTAGTCAAGGAATTTTATCGTCACATGGTTGTGACAAAAGATGGTGATAAGCTTGAGATCACTTTCAAAGTGAGAGGTGTGAAGGTAGTTCTGTCTGAAAAGAGACTTGCTCAGCTTTTGAGTTTATCTGCTTCGGGAGTTGCTCAGTATAGCGGAAACTCATGGATTAGTACGAATACCATGGGGTACCGGGACTATTTGAGTTATTTGTTGGGTCGAACGAGTGGTTTCACTCAAGCTTCAAGGCCGGAGAAAAAGTGGTTGTCTGCGGAACAGAGGATCTTGGTTATGTTGGTATCGGATTGTTTGTTGCCTAATAACAACAAAAGCAAGTTGTTGGGAAAGTTAGAATGCACCTTTGCCTTTTGCCTCAAGAATATGGTCATGTTCAACCTGCAAGCTTTGATGTTGCAGCACATGGTTTTCTGTACTGATCATAACCGGAAAAGTCTACCGTATGGGATGGTGTTGAGCTAGATTTTGGTTAGGAAAGGTGTAAGTGTGGGTGGTTGTCTTCCGAAGGCCGTGGGAATGTTGTTGTTGGATGCCACCAATCTTCGGAGTTGTAATTTGTTTCAGCTGGATGATGGTGATTACATCACGCTTGAAGAAGTTGCAAGGAAAGCACCTGAAGAAAGGGCCGAGTTGGCAGCCGAGCTTGGGATCCATGCCGGAAGTTGAACCTCGCTGTTCAGAGTTTGGGAGGCGATGAAGAAGTTGAAGATGAAGCAGGCCCTGAGGATGAGGTAGGAGCACCAGAAGCTGTTGAGGCTGAAGAAAGTGATTCTGGAAGTGAAGAAAACCAACGGAGAAGGGAAGCTCGCACCAAGAGGGAGCACGACCCCGTGACGCATGAGGAGCGCGTTGTCACCTTGCTTCGTCAATAGAACCGCATGATTGAAGAAGGCTTCGCCTACATGAAGACGCAGTTTGTCACCGTGCACCAAAGGCTAGATCAGATAGAGGCCAGTTCAAGCCGCAGAGGAGAAGATGATGAAGAATCCGAGGATTCGGAGAGCGAGTCCTTCTAGTGTGGAGTTGTTGTAATCTTGTTCGCCCTTCCTTAGTAGTTGTATCGTGTTAGCTGTAGTTACTGTTTGTTTGGTTGTTTGTTGTTTACTTTTATGCTTGTTTTGCTTGTTGTCTTGTTGTTTAGTTAGCTTTGTAGTTGGTGTTTTGTGTTGGTTGTCGAGATCTTAGTTGTTGGCTAGAAGTTGGTGTTTGTGTTGGGACTAGAGTTCGTGGTGCTCAATATATCCGTTTGTTAAATTCTTGCCAATCCTTGTTTTGGTATATCTCCTTTCTTGCTTTGAATTCTTGTGAATCCATTTTGAGCTTTGACCAAGATAGAATGTTCTTGACCCTCTTGTCACAATGTTGTTTCTTTCACCGTTTGTGTTAATTCGTCGTACCCAAGCTTCGGGGACGTAGCTTCTTTGAAGGGGGAGATGATGTGACACCCCGAAATCCGAATTCGATTAAGGGATTAATTAAGTAATTAACCCTATTTCAATTGGTAATTTAATTCCTAAAAATTCTGAAAATTCAATAGTCAAGGACTAGTAATTGACTAGTCAACCCCAAAGTCAAAGTTGTACCTTAAGCTTTATAAGGAGTTCCCTTGTTCCCTTACACTTCCTTATGTTAGTAAGGGTATTCTTGACTTTTCACCTTGTGTTAGTATTGTAAGTTAACCTAGTAGAACACCCCCATTTCTCTCCTTACACTTTCTAAATTCTAGCTCCACATTCTCCCTAAAAAGGTAGATAGCTTTTCTTCCCAGCCAAGTTGAAGGTTTGCCAAAACTTCAAGAGTTGTCTCCAAGATTCTACCTTTCATACATTTGGGCACCTAGGAGGGTAAGATCTATGTTCATCTTGTGTTTTTAGTGTTTTCTAAGGTGTTTTTCCTTAAAGATAGAATCTTTATGATCTTTTGGTGTGTTCTTGAAGTGGGTTTGGAAGGTGAGCTTTGTTAGGAGCTTGGAGAAGTGTTAAGTGAAGGTTTTTAGTCTTCAAGAGGTAACTCATGCTTTACAAAATCTATTTTGCTTACCTATATGTGATTTCTTGGATTCTACATGTGTTTTTGCTATGAAATGTGAGTGTTTATGCATTGTCTTGTTAAAATGCATATTTAGAGCTGGTGTTTAGGGTTCATTTATGCTATTGCTTGGCCATTCCTATGATTCAAGTCATTTTGTTGTATTTGGTGAGATTTGGCATGTTTTGGACTTGAATTTGAGCTTGGAGTTGAAAATCCCCGAATGAATTGTTTTGTGCATTTATGTGTACCCGCGGGCAGAACGACGAGTAGGGGTCCAACCTGCCGCCCACCCACGGGGTACAAGAGATGGATGGGCCTGTACCCGCGGGCGGAACCACGGGTAGGGGCCTACCCGTGGGCCTACCTGCGGGGTACGTATTGTGATTGTTGGGGGATTTGTTCCCCGTGATTCTTTTGATTCGGTATTTGGTCTTTTGACTTCCCGATGTTCTTTTGTGGAACTATTTGAGTGTTCTCTTGATGTTTCGTATGTCTAGAACTATATGGTAGGTATTCATGTAGGTTTTGGTGTCTTGAATCTTGCTAAGTGTTCAACATTGTGTTTCGTTGAACCGTGATGAGTCTTGTGTGTTCTTCGGAACTACGTTTGGTTTACCCGTTTGATGAGCATGCTAGTTCGGTGTTTAAATGCTAGCATGTGTGTTGTTTGTACCTTCCTATTGTTCATGATGACTTGTGTTATTCATCGTTGTTGTTGGACTGTGATCCACTCCTTGATTGAGTATGGTTTCATATCTTCGTTGTGTGGATGTGTGAGGTGTGATGCGTGTGTGGCTGTACCTGTATTGCACGATTTCAGTTTATGGGGCCTTAATCACCAAGGTACGACAGTGGTCCTCGTTGTGGCCATGACTCGATTATAGAGTTTGTGGCCTTTGTGTAAGGTTCACGTGTTTATTTCTGGGATAACATGTGTTATCCAGGGCATGTGTTGCCGTGTGTGATCGGTACCCTCGTGTACTATGAAATCGGTGGTTCTGTTAGAGGGACTGTTAGAGGGGGAAAGACGGTTCCCGGGGGAATAAGGTTGGACTTGGTGTACAGGGGTCCTGGAGGTAAAGGCTGGAACTAGACATAAGGTTGGGGGTAGCCATAAGGTGGGAACCGTGCATATGGAAGGCATATCAACTCGTGATGGGTGATGTCACGAGGGCTTGTGTAGCCGTTGTTGTGAGTTTTCTTCTTGTGACGTGTGTAGTCACAAAGGCATGTGTTGCCATTGGTCGTGTCCTTATCCTTTTAAGTTATGGTTGTCTTTTGTGGTCTTGGGATGTGTTCCCGTGTTCTTGTTGAGAGTGTTTGAGTCTTCTGTTGACTATTACTCTTGATTTTGTACTTATATATATGTATTCCGTTCCGAAAATGGCTTTACAAACTTATATTTTATCTATGTATGATATTTCACATGTATTTGTGGGTTACTAGCATTATTCGCTGACCGGGCGTAGTCCCATGTTTTATGTGTTCTTTCAGGTGATGTTTAGACGAGTGTGCGGTCTAGTGCCAGCTAGTGTAGCTCCTCCTTTGTATTTTATGGCCTTTGAGCCGGTTTAGACTTAGTGTTTTGAGATAATGGTTTTAGATTTGAACAGTGCAGATGTTTGCCTGTGCGTTCACCCCTGGGTGAGCGTGGCATAGCACCCCTTGTAACACCCCCTAAAAACATGCTATTTAAAAGCCTTTAAACATGCAGATAACTAAACTAAACAACACACACATCGGAAGACTGAAAGATAGATAGATAGATAAAATCTGGAACACGGGGTGCTATGCCATGTTCATTAAAAGGATGAACGCACAGGCAACATCTGCAA